CCACACACGCCGCTGTTCTGAATGTATCAGTATTTCGTGGTATTTACATTTCCAAGATACTGAAAACTACTTTTTGGTGCTTTTTCTCAGCGACACCCAAAAAACATGAAATTGCATTGTATTGCCAAATGGCATTACTATAGCACCATGTCCAAAACCATGGTAGTACCATTGTAGCTTTACAATAAGAGGATCTAAGTATCTAAATATCTCTTACCAGTGAGTTGTGGGCTCTCAGGTACACCAGAGCCCCGTGAGAGGTGAACAGTGAAGGCGCCCTGCATGTCACTGAAATGCAGACTGTCATCATCACTGAAATCCACAAATATACTCTGCTCGATGTGTCTTTCCCACAGCATTGATGAAGGTCTGCTGTGAGCGTCATCTTCACCGTCCATATCCTCCGTTTCTTCAGATGACACTCCATCAAACCTGCTCCGTGAGCTCGTGCGCGTCTTTCGCGCCTCTCTATTCATTTCTTAGCAACAAGAATACACAAAAAGTGTGGAAAACTGTTACAACTGCAAGTGAATTTATGTTTTTCCAATCACGTTATAATATAAATCCGCTAATTATATGTAGGACTATTCTATAATAAATTATAATGACCGACTTTTTTCCAAATATTCATGACGTATCTTGCTGGATAAATGAGTAAATAATTTAATAGTAAAAACAAATACACAAGAAACTAGAAAATGAACACTCCAACGCTAAATTACTCTAATAATACGACATTGCACTTACTTTTTGATGCTTGTTCCAAAGGTTTCTAAGGCTCTACGAGAGTTTGCGTCGTCTTCATAAAAGAATGACATAACAGCCTATTAGAAAGGTACAATGAAGTCTCTGTCTAGTTTCTTAAGCCTGTGGTGTAGGATCTTCTTGGGCAATTTTAAATAATAAATGCAGTATCTGATGCTGATGCTTTGGGCAGGTGCTACACGCGCACGGGGGTGGAGTAAAACAGGTGGTTGCTATGGGAACGACAAGCCTTAAGATCAGCTGTCAGTCAGTCAGCCAGCCGTGCTCCAAAACGGTTTCATTTACATTTAGCAGACGCTTTTATCCAAAGCGACTTACAAATGAGGACTTTTGAAGACTTAAAATAGCTAGATAATGATTTACTTAACAGTTAAAGCCGAATAAAAACAATTAAGTGTTTTAGGAGTTATGCAAAACAAAGAAGTGTTTTCCTCGCAGAGTAGAACCTATGAGTAGAACGATAAAAATTCAAATTTCATTGGGATTCATAGGGGGTGTGGTTATATTTGAATCCTGTGCTCTGATTGGCCAGTTCAGTCACCACCCACGCATCAAACACACGCCCCCTATGTCCGGATTTGTGTAGTTTTCTCTCTACACCGCTTCGGTGAGTCGACTCCGAATGTATAAATTAACCGAAAACGGTTTTAGTTAATCGGTTCTTACAATATGATTGGATTTAATTTTTTTGTGTTATCGATTCTGTTGGTTGTAAGAGACTGAACCGAGAGAAGAATCGGCGGGGAATCGGAGGAGTTTGAGTGAGTATGACTGAAGTTTAGCCCATAACGGCCGTTAAGACAGACCTGCACGCGCTAACGCAACAAAATATTAACTTAAAACCAAAATTTAAACTTCAAAGCGCGCGGAGACCTTGTTAGGTACCATATTATGATTTAATTACAATGGAACGTGCGCTGTTTTTTATTTATTTTAAAAATAAGTTATCTTCTGTGCCCTCAAATGATAATATGGTTAAACATTTAAATTATGTTACCAGCAATATAGTAATGTTTGTGCTTTTCCTCTCTGGTTTTGTTCAGGTCTGTGAGTGTTACGCATATATAAGGTTAGTGTTTTATATGATTTTATATTTTCAGTATGGATTGTATAAATATTTTTCTGGCTTAATCCTGGGCTATCTTTTACTGTTTGCTTTGGGAGTGAGACATGGGTGAGTCTTTATACTGCTTTATAAATGAGGACTGACACTGTGGCATTGGCGTGTTTTTGCTGTTGTTTTTTCTAGAATTATAAGTTTTGCATTGGCTTTTACACTTTCTTTATTCAGACAATATTCTTATTCACAATGCTCTCTGACTAACATACCTATCCTCCTGGCACAATGTAATGGAAAACTCTATGCTGAATTTGGCAGATGTTTATTAGTAACTGCTTACAACACACTGTGTGTTTGTGTATAAAAGGGGTCTTTAAATTGCGAGCACCTCAGGAACAGCTGTCAAGTGACAGTCATGCATTGTGATGATTGAAGTCATCATCACTTCCTGTGTCATGGAAGCTGAAGCTATATCTGTCTTCTTGCTAACCTCTCTTCATGTCTCATCTTGTTAAGCTAACCTGCCTCTGAGGTACTCTGAGAACCACGCTGCTGTTTTTCTGTTAGAATTATGACACACAAACCAGTTTTGTAACCGACTCTGTTTTGAAGTTCTGTTTGTTCTTTAGAATGAAGAAAGAAAATGCAGTGGATTTGAAGGTCTTTGGCACAAGTGTTACATGTTTTAGCAGGCAGTTTATCAGCACTCTTGTTTGAGACTGAGCTTGGTTACTTTTTGTTGTTAAGAAAATTTGGCTTTTCACCATTTACCAAGGGTTATCTTGTTCCATGTTTTATGCTGTTTAGACTTTAGTCTGTGAGTGGTGTTGTTCTTTTAATTATAGAGAAATGTATTCCTGATGTAATCAATTTCTAATGGATTAAAATGGATTAAAACTTTCCGTCCACTTTTTTTTTTTGGCCTTAAAGGTGCTGTATGTAAGTTTTTGACTCTACTAAAGCATAAAAATACCATAATATGTTTGTAGATACTTAAGAAACATGCTAAGTTAACATACTTGTTTATCTGAAAAACAATGCTACAGTCAGTTATTCTCCTTTGAAAATGTGAGTTCCGGGCCGGAATGTGGGTCTCCGTTTTGGTTTGTGAAACCCGCCCACTGCCAATTTACCCAATTGTATTTCGGCACCCCGGGTTGCCAGTTGGCGGAAAACACAGCGTATTTCATTTCATTCATCGTCAAGTGCGCTCGTTCCTGTTGGTGTCGTCAATCTGGCAACCTGCGTGTGCTTCGCGTAATGCAAGATTTGCATTTGCATTTGGATTTTGTCACAATTTATGCGTCCACATGGAAAACGCAATTGAAAATACAATTTGCTATTCTATTTGAAAATTGTCCGGAATATCGTTCCATATATACGTACGCAACCCAGGCAACGATTGGTTCTGTGAAACAAAGCAAAACCAATGTTACACCGTGTCTACGGATGTGAGCGGCGCGGCGCAACAAATCCCGACAGAAAACTGCTGCCGGGTTCTATTTATGACGTGCTGACACACATTTCAAATGGTTTTCAACGGTCGTTTGATCGTGTCCAGTGTAGGCAGACTTTAGCTGTTGTAGACACGGTGTTACTCACCTATTGAGAAGAAACAAAGCAACCTCGGCGTCCGATCGCAGGCCTCCGCTCCTTGAGTTCTCTCCAGCACTGGAAAGCTGATCCAATATTTTACACGGGTCCTACTTCTTGCCTTATCGTTCTGCAGACGTTTTCCTCTTTTGTTTTTTTATCTGCCATCTCTATCTTTCTGTCGCTCGGCTCGGCTAATGTCCGAAAAGCACATAAAGTCCGAGAGCTTTAATGCACTGAAAGCTCTCTCCTCCACATCACGAGTAGACACGCCCCTTATTGCTGATTGGCTACAAGTTTGTTTTGCTATTCGGCCCGAATCAGTTTTCTAAAGTGTTTTTGAAAAATCACATACCCTGCCTTTAACTATTTTTCACTGACTTTTGCCCCATGTGGATTTTTAAAAAAGTCTTTGTTAAAGAGTTAAAAGCCATGAACCTACAAACCAACAATGAGGCGAATCACAACAGACTTTGATTTGACACAAAAAAGTATTTGAAAATTGGACCGTGTACTTAATGTATTTTAATAAGGGAAAGAACTATACTATAAAAGTATTTAAAGATGTTAATTAGACACATAGAAACAATATATTTTAAGTTTATTGCAAAATAATTATGTATGTATTTAAGTAGTTTGAAAACGTAGGGGGACTGACTATTACATTGTTCACAATGCTTGTTTCTCTGATTGGTGGTGATTTTTTTGCAGAATTATGGGTAATGTAGTTTCTCACGATTCCCACCGTTTAACACAATTGTTTTAAAAACAATTTTCAACAAAAACCTATACCATTGACTAACAACCTCACAGCTGACTGTAGGTCTGTCTTTAATGATTTATAAGTTACCGATATAAACATAATAAACAGTATACGATTTTTACTTACAGAACCACACCTTTATTTATTTTTTATTTAAAAAAAATTTGTCCTTAATTAATCAAAATGTCATAATTTGATCTTTCGAGGGAATTGACAGACTTCTCTTTGGTGACGTATGCCGAACTTCTCCAATCTCTTTGTCTGCTTATACCTTGCCTTTCTACTATCCACTAGCGCATTAATTTTTGAGTGCAACACCCACATCACAAAATACAATCAACAACCGATGGTCAAAACTAAGTCTCTGCCTTTCGTTTTTTCTTACTCTATTTCTCTATAATAATTTGTTATACCCAGATGCATGTCACAATACAATAGAAAATATCTATTGCTACTTCGGTTTCGTCAATACTTCAATATGCACAAGAAAAGTATGACACATCATACTGACATTGTGCAATATTTGCATATTTCTAAAATGATAAATATACTGTACAGTAGACTAAATGTTTCAGTGAACTCTGTAATTCTTCAAGCTGATTATCTTATTTCTGGATTAGTTCGGCAATGACAAATCAGCTTTCCAAATGTCACAGAGGTGTAATATGTTTGAAAGTGACCGACAGTTACCATAGAATTGAAAATTGTCTCTTTTTTTTCAATGATTCTCTTTACAAATGTGGAGCTTTGAAAGAGAAGGGTGAACAAAACTCATCTCTTGCCACAAACATGAATGCGTTTTCTTTCATGTTTTGGTACTGGCCTGCATGCATGGCAGATAATCAACTGTGTTTATGGGCCAGTTGCTCTTGCTTTCTCTCTTGTTTTTGGGCCCCCTTGATTTAGCTTTCACATACACAAAGCTGGCATACACACCCTTAATATCTGCCTCCATTGCATGTGTCCACTGCTTAGTGGGTGTTGCCATGGCATTACACACAGAATGAGGCTTCACACTCCACGTCTTGTATTCTCTTCACAGAGAGCTTCGGAAGAGCATCCTGGACAAAATACTCACACAAACACATACTTCCCAGACCCATGTGGTGAATATTAGTCTGGATAAGCTCATCTGTAGTGCACTGGACTCCACCACTGCAAAACGTCAGAGAGACTTCGGAAGTGTTTAAAAAAAATTTTGAACCTTTTTTTCTGGGATACAGTTCACTATTCTTCCCTGATGGATTACTTTCTGGATTTGACTCGGATCAGTACTTCATAATGCTCTTCAATGGCTGCGAGCAGTGCAGTGGTTAGCATGCAGAATGACAACCGGACCTTTGTCCACTACAGGTAGGCATGCAACACTTGAATTATGTTTTCTTTTCAGTTGTAATGTACCCTTAGGCTGATGATACACAGCAGGGCAACTTTTTTTGAGCAATGTTGCTTGGGCACTTTCCCATTGAGATTGGATAACAAATTTCTATCTGGATACTTTAGATCGGTCGTTGGCCCTGTGTCTCACCTGGTTGCCCATTGATGGCAACATTGCTCAAAATGTTGCCCTGTGTATCATCAGCCTAAGAGCTAGTCCAGTATTAACTCATTCATAAAGATGGACCAAAATTGTATTCACATGAAACTTAATCATAGTTTTTATTTAACACTGTATTCAATTAACAGACCATAAATGTGTCCTTTGTCTCCTTTGATTTAATACCTAAAAACTTATAATAAGGATACAAGTAGGCTTCTAATCGAAACTTTTCAATAATTCAATAAATCATTGCTAATTGCTTGTCATCTTCATCTTATGCAGTTTTGGTGGGAAAGATGTTTGACTGAATTTGAATGTCATTCTCAATCTGAAATTGTGAGAGAAATCTAGCAGCAAAATAAATCCAAACGTTGGATCCAAAAGATTTTGCAACATAACATTTCCAAGGTAGTATTAATGTGGAGGTTTATTGTGTGTGTGTGTGTGTGTGAGAGAGAGAGAGAGAGAAACAGGTGTGCCTCAGTTTACTCCATATTTAATAACACTGTGAATCATTTATGACAATTGCTCAAATTCTGTTCTGCAGTCCATGAGTTGAGTTAGTTTTTATCTTTTAGTCAGTCCTCTGCAAACATCTGTCACTCAGACATTGTTAGCAATGCATATATAGTAATATTTACATTTATGCATTTGGCAGATGCTTTTATCCACTTGCATTGCATTCAAGGTATCCATTTTATCATTACTTGCTTTGCTTGGGGACCCATGACATTGGCATTGTCAGTGCATTGCTGTACTGTTGAATGTGCAAAGTAGATTTTTAAGGTTACCAAAGTCGTACTAATTTTGCATTAGTTTCCAGTGACCAGTTTGTCATGAGAAACAAACTACAATCACTGTTTCTGAGTTTCTTTTATTCAAATCTATTTCAGTTTTTGTATTCTAGATGAAAGCGCTCTGAATCGTGTAGTCTATTAATCAGTCACATGATGAAATGAGTCTCATGAAATCAGAAGCGAACACAGCGGGTCTAATCTCTGTAGTGTGAGTGTCCCTCTCTGTGTGCGCGCTAATCACACACAACAGTGGAAAGCAGAAACACAATCAGATTAGCTGTTCAAGTGCTGAGCACGACAGTTTTTGCCAAAGCCATCTCCAACCTCTGCCCTCAAAGACGTCCGAGGTGACGTTGTATGATGGACAACTGCTGTGTATAATATTCTTTTAAAAATCAAGAGTTTGTAGTGGTGTAATTCCTAGTGATGAATTGGGTTGATTGGCAGCCTCATCGTGATGTATGTGTGTTTGAGACGGTTGGTTTTAGAGATTACAGCCCCATCGGAGGACTTTTTAAGGAGACATCAAAGCATTTTAAATGCCTTTCACATGTCCAGTTTTCTTTGATTGTGTGAGTCGTGAAGGCACCAGGTAGGGCCTCTACAAACTCTGACGGACTAGTTATTATGTGTAGGAAATGGGATTAATCTATTATGGATAACTGGTAAAAAATATTTGCAAGGCCTGATTGATTTGCCACATATTATGCAGTGTTGGGTTGATTGGTAATGAATTTTTGTTGAGTCTCTTTTTCCATATAGCTTTATTGTTTAATTTAGTTGTAAGGAGTGTTAAGGGCTTTACACTGGCCTGTATTAGTTCACTAACGTGATAATAATCCACACAGCTGATGTGTGACACATATTGTTGTGTATATACCCTAACATACAATGAAATAACAATGTAAAATTATTTCTTCCAAAAACTTTGTTATTCCTTGGTTATAAACTCCTACAAGCCCCCCCAAATTAAGACTTTTTAACCACTTTTTTGTGTGTTTTACACTCAAAGATGTTTTTTTATTATTATTCAAAGTTTCATGTCAAACTGCCCCTTTTTCAAAACTAAAAAATATCAAAAAAGAGATCTTGCATGATGCGACTTTCCCAGCACAAACAAATCAGTGGTCTGTTATGGTAGCACCTTACATTCATCGAGTTTTCCCAGTGTTTGACTGAGTTAGATCCATAAAATTTGATCCATAAAAGATTTTGTTGGTTTCTGTAATGAGGACATCCTACCTCGATTTATTTCTACTAATGTTGATGCAGAGACATTAAAACTACAGCTCAACCATTCATAAAAATAGTTTTTCTGCCCCCTGCAGGATGGAGGCTTCCTGTTTGGACCTGGCTCTGGAGGGGGAGCGTCTGTGTAAGGTGGGGGATTACAGCGCCGGTGTTTCTTTCTTCGAGGCCGCCATGCAGGTTGGCACAGAAGACCTGCAGGTTTTGAGTGCCGTCTACAGTCAACTGGGCATGTTGTGTATATACCCTAACATACAATGAAATAACAATGTAAAATTATTTCTTCCAAAAACTTTGTTATTCCTTGGTTATAAACTCCTACAAGCCCCCCCAGATTAAGACTTTTTAACCACTTTTTTGTGTGTTTTACACTCAAAGATGTTTTTTTATTATTATTCAAAGTTTCATATGTCAAACTGCCCCTTTTTCAAAACTAAAAAATATCAAAAAAGAGATCTTGCATGATGCGACTTTCCCAGCACAAACAAATCAGTGGTCTGTTATGGTAGCACCTTACATTCATCGAGTTTTCCCAGTGTTTGACTGAGTTAGATCCATAAAATTTGATCCATAAAAGATTTTGTTGGTTTCTGTAATGAGGACATCCTACCTCGATTTATTTCTACTAATGTTGATGCAGAGACATTAAAACTACAGCTCAACCATTCATAAAAATAGTTTTTCTGCCCCCTGCAGGATGGAGGCTTCCTGTTTGGACCTGGCTCTGGAGGGGGAGCGTCTGTGTAAGGTGGGGGATTACAGCGCCGGTGTTTCTTTCTTCGAGGCCGCCATGCAGGTTGGCACAGAAGACCTGCAGGTTTTGAGTGCCGTCTACAGTCAACTGGGCAATGCCTACTTTCACTTGCATGACTACAGCAAAGCTTTGGAGTTCCACCACCATGATCTTACACTAACTAGGTATATTTGCACAACTTTTCATCAAATATTTTTTAAGAAATTAATACTTTTACTCCACAAGGATGCATTCATTTGATCCTGAGTTTAAACAAAACCGTCACCTTTCCACAAAATGTTAAACCAGCACAACTGTTTTCAACATTGATAATAACACTTAATGTTTCTTGAGCAGCAAATCAGCATATTAAGATGATTTCGGAAGGTGATGTGACACTAAAGACTGAGTAGTGTCTGCTGAAAATTCAGCTTTTTAAAAGAGTTATTTTAAATTGTAAACATATTTCACATTATTACTCTAAATATGCAGCCTTGGTGAGCATAAGAGACTTCTTTCAAAGGCAACAACAACAAAAAATCTTACTGATCACAAACTTGTGTGGTAGTGTAAATGCCAAGTGTTTTGGTTGTATTAAAGGGGTGGTTGATTGCGATGTCACTTTTTTTAACGTTAGTTAGTGTGTAATGTTGCTGTTTGAACATAAACAATAGCTGCAAAGTTACTAAGCTGAAAGTTCAATGCAAACGGAGATATCGTCTTTTAAAATTCTGGCAGTTTATTTCCTACAAAAACGGCTGGTAGGGACTACAAGAAGTTACTTCCCGGGTTTGTGACATCACAAACCCAGATAAACCCCGCCCTCGGGAAAAGGCAGCAAAGGGGGGGAGGTCATGCGCTGCTTTAGAGAAGAGGAAGAGAAAACTAGTGGTGTACGTAAAAATCTATTCATATATGAATCGCGATTCTGTCTTCTAACGATTCTAATGGATTCACAAGTTTCAAAATCAATGTTCTAAAGCAGAAAAAAAATGTTAGACTGCACCCCATAAACACAATCAAGCCTAGAAAAAAAACCAGTGAACCACCCCTTTAATAATTAATGTTCTTTAGGATTGTATAATATTTGTGTTGAATGTTAATGACAGCACTGATTTGTTCTCTTAGAACCACTGGGGATCAGCTTGGTGAGGCCAAAGCCAGCGGTAACCTGGGGAACACATTAAAGGTTTTGGGTCGCTTTGATGAAGCGGTGGTTTGCTGCCAGAGACATTTAGATATTGCCAGGGAACTGGGCGACAAGGTGAGTGATTTGTTTAATGTACACAATTGACATAATGGAACATATTACATTTGCATTTATTCATTTAGCATTATTCATTGATGCTTTTATACAGAGACACTTGCAAATGCTACAACACTAGCGATTCATTCTGATGAGGTGATTATATTAGTGCTGTAGAATGCTCTGAAATTGAATGAAAAAATTATCTTGCAAACAAATCAAACAGTCTGTAAATGAATAGATGCACACAGGGTCTGGTGAATGCTGTAGTTATGTAAAACGTTTTGTAAATGTAAAATAATCATTGCTAAATATCATATACAGTTGTGTGAATCTGATGAATAAATTAACATGTTTATTTACCCTGAATTCAAAGTTGTAAATTGTCAATGAGATAGATTTTTGTGAGCTTTATTAAGAAAGTCAGAATTGTGAGATAAAAAAAAAAAAAATTTCAATTACCATAAGTTTGCATAAGATGCACCCAAGTATGTCATTAACATCTAAGGTTCACATGTTTAGTGAACATGTTCTTTTTTCCTAAAGGTGGGGCAGGCCAGAGCACTTTATAATTTTGGAAATGTGTACCACGCCAAAGGGAAGAGCATCTGCTGGAGCGGAGCAGAACCTGGAGACTTTCCTGAGGAGGTCATGACAGCACTTAGAAAAGCCGCTGAGTACTACGAGTGAGTACCACCAACACTCACATGAGTGGACATTTTTTACATGAATTGTAAAGTGTTTTTTGCATTCTCCTTCTTTTCTCCAATTGTTCAGAGCGAACCTGTGTATCGTGAAGGAACTCCGAGACAGGGCAGCACAGGGCAGAACTTATGGAAACCTGGGCAACACATACTACCTACTAGGAAACTTCAGGGATGCAATGGCCTCTCATGAACAGGTGAGTGATCTGTGTCTTCATTTGATTATGGTAATTGCCGATAACATTGTAAGGCTGTGCAAAAGCACTCACTGCACTGTGTGTCAACCATTTGTCTTCCAGCGTTTGCTTATCGCTAAAGAGTTTGGTGACCGGTCTGCAGAAAGGAGAGCCTACTGCAACCTGGGAAACACTTGTATATTCCTTGGGGAGTTTGAGAGGGCTGCAGAACATTACATGTGAGTGCAATATTATTTATTGATTGATTAATTGATTTATTATGAGAGGGAGAAAGAAAGAGAGAGCATTACAGGCCTATTGGGATAGGCTTAGGGTTTGATATGGATTTTGTTCCAGGGTGTCTGTGGGTCCTTAAAGTCTTAATTTCAGTTTAATCAAATTAAAGGTCAATTAAAGCCTTAAAAATTTTAACAAGCGTTGCAATTATAATTTTATTAGGTCTTAAATTTGAGAATAGGAAAACAGGAATTACGATACATTCTAAAGTGATGATTGAACTTTAAAAAGTTGATATGATATAATTCAATAAATGTCAAAATATGGCACTGTTAGACATTCCATAGTCTCACAGTTTCAGAGCAATTTGCAATCAGTGAATACTACACTTTTATGACAGGCAGTTGCTTATGATCTACTGTTGATGAATTTTGACTTTATGGCTTTTAATATTGTAATATGATGTAGATGGTTGTAAGAGTGCATATTTGAATGAGCAGCTGGAAGTAGTAAAGCACATACATTTCAAAATAAAAGTCTGCATTTTGTGCTCATTTATATCTAAATGAAAGTCCCACATTATGCATTTTTTTCTAGATACTATTGGTGTTTTGGTTATACAACAAACTGTATCTGACATTTAAGTCAACGTAAACCTCTTGTAGCTTCTCTCTGGGCCACCCTATCACAGGAAGGAAAGACTAAGAACATCATTTGGGCTCTGACAGTGATTGTGTTGTGAGTGTAGGAAAGCTCTACAGTTGGCACGGCAGCTGAAGGATCTGGCGGTGGAGGCTCAGGCCTGCTACAGTCTGGGCAACACATACACACTACTGCAGGACTATGAGAGAGCTATCGACTACCATCACAAACATCTCATCATCGCTCAGGACCTCGATGACAGGTGCTCTAACACACACCAGGAATCAAGTTTTAGTAGTGGCCAACTGATATATTCCCAATATTCCCTGCTGATTCCAGTCATCTCAAAATAGCAGAATATGAGCCAATTAATTGTCTTGGCCGTTATATTATATATATATTATATAATTTATCTCCAGTAGTAGTTAATACTTAGATGTAGAAAAAAATCATTATAAAGCGTAATAATTTGCATACTCATTATGGAAGGTATGTTTTCTGCAGGATCGGTGAGGGCAGGGCCTGCTGGAGTTTGGGAAACGCACATACAGCACTAGGGAATCATGACCAGGCCATGCACTTTGCAGAGAAACACTTGGAAATCGCAAAAGAGGTACGTGCAGTTATAGACCCATCAGTAGGTACATATCTGGAAGTACCCTTGTTATTTGTTTCAAAGGAAATCTGTTATAATTGCTTTATTGCTTTAAACTGCAGCAGGTTTATATACATTTTGAATAAAATAAATTATTAATGTTTTTGGGATGTATTTTAATTAAATGCCCTGATTGTCTTGTTTACAGACTGGTGATCGTAGTGGGGAACTCACTGCTCGCATGAACGTCTCAGATCTTCAGATGGTCCTCGGCCTCAGTTACAGCACAAACAATTCAGTACTTTCTGAGATCAAAGAGATCGACTACAACCTGCATGGTACAGCGGTCAAACAAACACTAGCACACAAGCACAGCCTTCAGCCATAGTATCTCAATTTCTTCGTTAATAAGTGGAATAAAGTATGTGACCATTGCATTTTAAGCTTTTCAACTGATTGATTGGTTTGTTGTTTTTCCAGGAGCCAGACCCAGAATGAGCCGACGGCACAGTATGGAGAATCTAGAGCTGATGAAACTCACTCCTGACAAGATCAACGTGAATCTAAATGTATTTATCTGATTCATAACTCTATTTATAGTCATCAGTTCATAGGACATTGAAGCATAAATCTAGGTTTTCAAATCTCAGCATCAGGATTCATAGAGTAATGTAATGTCTGTCCTGCAGGGTCAGAAGTGGACCAGTGACATCCTCTTCAAGCAGTCCAAACTCTCACTGGCCAAGTCGTCCTCAAAGCTCTCCTTTGTCAATCGTTTCCGAGGAAAGAAGCACAAACTGCAGAGCAGCTCCAATAAAATCCTTCAGGATACCAGCAACACACGGGAAGCTCCTCAGAACAAAGTACTGAAACCACATGCAAACACGTTTACTAAAACCCATAGAATAAGACTGTGTTTACTTTATTACTTGACATTCCTGATCTGAAAAAGATTCATGAGTCCATATTATTCCAAAGTTTGTTTTTATAATCTTTCATCAAAATGTAATAACTTGCTTCACATCTGAAACCTCTTCCCCTTTCGGACAACATCGCATTAGGGCTGTCAAAAAAAAATGAGAATTTCGAATATTCGTCGAATTTAAAATAAAAATCCACATTCGAATGCAAAAAAACGTTGCATTCGAATTTTAGGTGTGCGTTAAGGAGGCAGCCTTATCAGTGGCGATGTAAGTGTCGTTGTTTTTCTTAGTCTTTCCAGTTGAAAGCCACTAGATGCGGCGCTGCTGCGTTGTTCATTAAAAATATTGCAGGAAAAGAGAACATCAATGCTGAGATGATGTTGTTTACGTCAAAACTGAAACCAAGCCGTTCACACAGAACGCATATTTCGCGCATTTTCTAGAGGGACATCTATTACCGTTGCACTAACATCTTGCACAAAAGAGCCGCATGTTTAGAAAGCCATGTAAAATTCATGCAAGTTCAACTTTTAAAAAACATATCTTGAGACTTTATGGCGGGGTTTTTCCCCATCCCACTGCAACTTGTGTTTTTAAATGAAAAATGTACTCTGTGTGATTGGCTTTCGGCCCTTTGTATTAAACTATGCATACATGCATGATGCTGTTTTGTTTATAGTTGTTTAAGCAACTTAATTATAATTGGTTTATAAACATTATTTTAAACATTATGTACTTTTTTTCACAGATAGTCATGTTATCTTATGCTTTGAAGAATCGTGCATTAGTAGTTTGCTCAATGCACCCTTAGGAGACAATCCAAAAGCTTTTCTTCACCCTAACTGAAATTATGCATTTTTAAAAATTCGAATATAATTCGAATTTTGATAATATTTAAGTACAAAATTCAAATTTAGTTTTTCAGCCATTTTGACAGCCCTACATCGCATCTAATAACCAGTCAACCATAGTTGACTTGCATTTGAATCTTAAGGTCTGAACAGTTCATAAATTGAAAATACTGGTTACAAAATTGTGTATGTTCTCAGTTCTTCAGAGGGCATTTGTTTTAACCTTTAACCTTTGACCTCAGCATGGGAGTACAGACATGTTAGGAGACGAGGGCTTCTTTGACTTGCTGAGTCGTTTTCAGAGCAACAGGATGGATGACCAGCGGTGTGCCATACAAGATGGGAGGAGCCACCTGTCTGTCAATTCTAGGTCCAACTCCCCACCCAGAACCATCAGGAAATGTTAGTGTCCTTTCACATTATTCATTCAATTTGTCTTTTAATATTCAAACAAGTAGCATTTAAAATGACATAAATATCATACATATAGCTGAACGTGTGTCTGTCTATCCAGCATTCTCAGAGTCGGCTGCATCTCCAGGTCAGGAGCCGTTCCTCAGACTGTTGGCCAGTGCTCAGGGCAGGAGGCTGGACGAGCAGAGGGCAGGAACAGGGAACAGTCTGCCCGGCCTGCGCACTCTATCCGAACACAGCAGCATTAGCAGCAGACAGATGATCCTCAGCCAGGTCATGGCCAGCACAGACGCTACCGAACCCGACGACCAGTTCTTTGACATGCTCGTCAAGTGTCAGGTGAGAACATGTGTTTGAATTACCCAGAGTAGAAAAAACGAGTGGGGGAAAAAAATGCAAAATAGCAACTGTAGGAAAGGGAGTCCATTTGTTTAAAGCCATTCGCCTAATTTTCTTTTCTGTATATCTCAGGGGTCTCGTCTGGATGATCAGAGGTGTGCCCCTCCTCCGCCCTCCACCCGTGGCCCCACCGTCCCGGATGAAGACTTCTTCAGCCTCATCATGCGCTCACAGGCCAAGAGGATGGATGAGCAGAGAGTCACGCTGCCCTCCTGCCGCTGAACAAACATACACACTGAATGAGCTCTTTTTCATACACACGAGTGTTGCAGACCTCACGCTGGTAATACAAACAAAATGATGGTCGGGTAATATGCCATCAGTATGAACTGTGTCCTGTCTGCTACATGATTATGAATGGCATTTTGTGTACAGCTGTACTAAGCAACTCTGGGGGGGGGAAAACATCTTTGTAAATAACATAAATTTTTTTTTATTAGATTTAAGCTCTTTCTAGATTTGCATTTGTAAGGATTTTAAAGATTGTTTTAGTTAAGGATGTATTGCTTTGATCATAATCACGGCAATGACTCATCTTTTGATACAAAACTGCAGGTTTATTTGTATTTATTTAAATAACATTGTTACTACCACTAGTTACCTTCCAGTTAACTATATGTATATGTAGTTGTGACAAAAATATCACTGTATTCTTTTTGTAATGTCACATTTAGTTTATAAAAGTAGTTAAAAACTATAAATGTACCTAAAAAGTGGATGATACAGTAAAATTTACAACACAAATGTATAGAAATAAAACCTGTACAGAAATATTTTACATTCACATTATTCAGTGTTCTTATCAGACAAGAAAATGAATTGCAAGTTGTTTTCCCATTTCATTTTTACAGAAAAGCAGAGCATTTGAATGTTCTTTAATTCTAACAGTGAACATGATTTACTAAAATACTGTTCTCCAAAAGCTGCAGTATAGTAGGGTGAGCTCTCGAGTGCATTGGTCGCCTGTAGTTTAGTTTTCCAAATAATGTAAAACACAATTTAGAATCGTCAAGCAAAAAAGGTTGAGTCAGGTAAAGGCAGATGACTTAAAAGGTCGGGATCTTCTTCCAGAATAATGGAGATGAACATTTTTTTTACAGTGTCACTACCATTACGCACTATGCTACAGATCTTCCTCATGTTGGCTTCACTGGTTGAAGTCGGAAGAGTGATTTCAGTATAGAATTCTTCATGAATGATTTGCTTGTGACGCAGTTTGTCTGCGATGGCGTGCACATTCTTAATGCTTTTAATAAGGTCACACCAATTTCTATCAAAAAACTGAACTTTATCAAAGTTGACAGCTACTTGTGGTGTCTTATGCTTTTGTCCAGTTTGAAACAAATTAGATTCAGAAGTAACCATGAATCCAAACAAAGCTTTGCACATTTTTGCGGTCCAGACTGATTTCTGATCATCCACTCGGCTGAGAGTCATATTGATGTCATCGACCACTGAAAGATTGACCTCAAAAAAGTTTGGCTTGATGTCTCCTTTTAGCTTGATCTTTTTGGGTTGGACAAAAGCACCAGGAACCTCAAGACTGTGTTGTTTATTCATCTGTAATGGGGTTTCAGGTCTTGGAAGATCGATTTGATGGCTCAATTTTTTCTCTTTTTTAATTTTTTCTTCAAAAACTGAATCTATTGGGAAAAAATACACATGGAGGATGATGGGGTCTTTGTGTGTCATGAAGATCAGTAGATCACAGTGCACTTTCACTGCTATCCCTAGTTTCATAAGCACTGTTTTAGCAGAAAAATATGGTTGGAGTATTTTGGCATGAAAACGAGTCAACTCCACTGATTCCAAGGATATTCCCTCTTCTTCAACACTGAGGACCTTCATATCATCTTTAAGAGAGGGGTCTGACTCTGCTAAACAGGCGTAATGAGGCAGATGGGCCTCCTTCAGTTTCCCTGAGATCACTGTCACATCAATCACAGGTCCAATTCTCTCACACTGAAGTCTCTCCAGCTCTGCTCTGAGGAAACGTCCATCCACTGCACGGTACTGGAGAGTGACGTCACCAGCACAGACCCATCGCATTCTGGTCCTGCTGCACTCGAATCGACCCGCCGGAGTGCTGATCCTGAACTCTGACCCTCCTTCATCTGATTCTGTACAGACTGACGGCTCCACCTGAACCCACTGATCAGAATCACCAATGTGAACACAAGACTGACACACTGGGAGCGGGTGAAGATTCAGTCCAGATGGTTCAGAGATGTTCAGCCTAGAGAACAGAGATGATAAAGATAAATGAGATGATAAATGTATGAAAGAGAAACATATACAGTGATAAGATGATCTCACTTTTCCAGCTACATATTAAAGTTTTCATTTTATTACACTTTATCTACTTGCATCTGTAGATTTCAATAACAATAACAAAATGAGGCAGAAATCTCCACTTCATTAGCACGTACATACACCAAACTTCAGTTTTTTCCCTGTCTGTATTCTGAAGATTTTAACAGAGGGGTTTGTTAATATAGCATTAGCCTGATTTATAATATTTTATTCCTTTTTCTGACAGTTGACAGTATTTTCTGATTTATGGAGTGATAAAAAGAAATGCCTAAAATCCCCTCTTAAAAAAATCTATAACTCTTAATGTCAAAAAAAAAAAAAAAAAATCTGAAACAGGCTTTGTCCATTTTTCCGATTTCTGTTCTACAAATGTAATGCCTTATTTGCATATTTAAAGATAATTTAGAAAACAATTGTCTTAACGCATTAATGTGATTAATCAGTTAAAGAAAGTATGGTGATAATCTATTAAAATGTTTACCTGAAGTGAATACCTTACATATTTGGTGCATGTTTAGCCTAAAACAAAAGAACATAAAATTATCTTACTCTTCCAGCTTTTCCAAAACCTTTGGTTTGAAGTGAATCTTCACTTTCTCGTTACAGCTGTGGCTCCAGTCCTGTTCTTTGCACTGGTCAGTGGGTTTACTGCACTTCCTCCTTGAGAAAAAAGGAGAAAAATAAATAAATAAAGGCACCAGAGATACTAAGAGAAGGCCATACTGTCACCCTTCATGATGTGAAAAGCAAACCATGTTATTGTTATGATGATTGTATTTCAAAACCACAAAATTGCAGAGCAGTAGCTCAACTAATAAATATCTGGTGGTGTGTGAAATATTTCATTAAAACATTAGGAAAATTCTGGATTAATTTAACAACTAATTTAAAAAACAAACAATATTTAATAAACATTTCTGAAGTTTTGTAGATTTTATGTTCCATATTTTCTATCCATGCTGTGCAAGAAAATCATTTGTTTTGTGGTCTTAACCTAGTTAAAAAAAACAAGCTTCTTAATGTATCTTTAGACAGGTCAGTTTGCACAGCTATTGAGCACACAAACCCTTCAATGATCACAGTGCAGTGTGGATCTGTCAGTGATTTCTTCAGTAACACGAGTCCCTCCTCCAAAAGCAATCCAGTGACACCGACACTACAATATTGAAGTTACACAAACATCATCAGTATTCACAATAATGTACTATAAAAATGTGTTTTTTACAATGACAACACTAACAGCAATTCATTGAGTTCTTTACAATTTAGTTAGTGAAAGTTCTAACACAAAGGACTTGTTTTGAAGAAAATAGTTGATCGCAATAATCACAAATGGGGACTGGAGCTTCGGTCTTAATAATTATGAAAAAGTCCTAGTGATCTGAATGCTTGATTTCAGGAAGAGATTAAACCTGAAGCCTTTATTCATTTAAAGGGGTCATATGATGCTATTTTAAAGATCATTATTTGGTGTAACAGAATATGTTGACATGCTTTAATGTTCAAAAAACACATTATTTTTCAAATACTGTACATTATTGTAGGTCCTCTATGCCCTGCCTCTCGCAAACTCGTCGTTTTCAACGTCCATAAAATGCATTGCTGTTCTGTTGTAAGTGATCTTAATGATTCCTAATTGCATCTACTTCCGGAAGGCCTAATAAAGTGCTTTTGCTTTCGCACTGAATCCCACAGCGTCTCCCTGACATGGCTGCTGTTCCTGAAACCACGCCGCCTTTCTTTGCGTGCACATTTGGGCGGCATTATGCTAATATTTCCACAGTGACGTAGAAATGTGGGGGCGTGTTAGAATGAGCCGTTTTAGGTAGGCGTGGTTGACTCTTAACTTTTATAAAGAATATCTCTTTGGATTTGAGACTTTAGTCTTTGTAACTTTACAGATCTTTATGCACCAAGAGCTTGTAACACTCCAAAGAGAAAGGAAAACTTGAAATCGCATCATATGACCCCTTTAAACATTTGGTCTAGCTCTCCTTGGCACATACATGACAGTTTGTTATTTGTTTGTTTTGTTCAGATGCCTTTGGTTTGACCCAATGTGTGACTAAAGTGTCCAAAAACTTTATTTGGCCACTGTTCCTTGACAGGAATCAATTACATGAATTAAGGCAAATCCTCTCACCTGAGCTGCTGTAGACTTGTGCAGGTCTGGACGAGGGAAATGATCCCAGAAGCCCAGCTCTCATTCAGACTGACCAAATCCAGATGCAGTGTCTTCAAACCCACAGAGTGAAATGAAGACAGCAGCAAACTGACATGCTCATCAAGAGCTGAAGAGCTGCAGAAATATATTTTACCACAAAAATATATGAATAACAGCAAATCTACTGATAAGATAAATAGAGTAATGGCAAAATTGACGTTTTTCTTACTCTTCTGCTACTTTTCCTGCCTTGCCGAGTCTCTGTAAGAAGAGTGTCCAGTCAGTGCTGATTATCTCTGATTGTGGACATGTAAGACTGATGTTTAAGACTGCTGGAAATGACGGATTCTTCTCTGAGGAGCTCAAAGACAACCTGAAACAGACAGATACACAGATGTACATTTGATAACAGCACCATACTGCAGTGTTCCAAAACATACATCATTTTTATAAGACTATACAGGTGCATCTCAATAAATTAGAATGTCGTGGAAAAGTTCATTTATTTCAGTAATTCAACTCAAATTGTGAAACTCTCTTGAAAAGGAAGAGTGTATGTGCAATAGTTTCTTACAAGACAACTCCATGAGTGACTGACAGGTCAAGTGACCATCTGGGACTCTCAGCACTGTATTTATCTTCTTGAGCGCTGCATGTCAGAAGGACAGATAACTTATCAAAACAATTAATAAATTATTAAAACAATTAATAAATTATTATTTTCAAGTCAATAGTTTGATATTTTTATATGGCTGCATAGGAAGTATGATGCAGTTTGTTTGAATTACTTCAGCCTGCTCAAGACTTTTGATTCATCAAGACCCTGGATCAAATCTCCAGCTTCTGACAGGTGCTCCACTGACAACCTTGAGTCAAAAACAAAAATAATTTATAAAGCGAATGTTTTATTTAATATTTTATTATATTTAACTAACTGATTGATGAACTTTACACTGTTATTAGTCTGAACTAAATCGACACTGAACTGACTTGAGCTAAATAATGTCAATTATTTTCTTTTAGAGGCGCATTACAGCAGAATCTGAACCGTCTCCATAGTTGATTCTTGATATTTTCCTGTTAATCACTGTAAAGATGCTTTCACACAGTTTGTATTACATAAAGAACTACAGATTTGAAAGTGAAATTGACATGACCTGAAGCCAAGTATTGTGTTCCATACTTGGAATTTGTGCTCTGTCCTTAACCCATCCCAAATGCACACAGACTGCAGTGAGTAGTGAACACATACACCGACACCCGGAGCAGAGGGCAGCCATGTGATGTGGCGCCCGGGGAGCAGTTGGAGGTTCGGTGCCTTGCTCAAGGGTCTCACCTCAGTCGTGGCATTGAGGGTCGAAGAGAGCACTGGTCATTAACTCCCCCCACCTACAATCCCTGCCGGGCCTAAGACTCGAACCCGTGACCTTTGGGTTACAAGTCCGACTCTCTAACACAGAGTGCTGGCTGAAGAATCTTGAGTTTCTCAGCTGTTAAATCACAGTACATGAGGTTCAGGTCTCTGATGTGTGGACAGCACTGAAGACAGTACAGCAGCACCCAACAGTCTGTGCTCCTCAGGGAAATGTTAGACAGATCCATCAAGTTTTGTGTAATCAGAGCTTCACTGACAAATCTCTCATCTTGGAGCTCATACAGACAGTGCAGATCAAATAACAGGTTATATTCATTAAATGTTGTCCTTCTAATAACACTTCTATACAGTTCTTGCTTCAGATGTATGGTGTGAGGAACAGTCCACTTGATCTTTTCAAAGAGTGAGCTGCTCACCTCCTCATTTGAGAGACCACAGAGAAACAGGATAATGGGATGGATGGGATTTGATCTTTCTGGTGATGGCCTGTAGATTTTTTCTCCCAAATCCACCCTGTAAAGCAGCTTTCTTATTTTCAACCAGGAATCTTCCTCATCCATTAAAACATAAGAAAGAGCAGTGAAGAACTCCTGAAAGCTTAAATGCATAAACCTAAACACAGGCACCTGTCTGCTATTTCTTTTCAAACTATCTTTATACAAGAACACACTAGTAGCTGGATCTAAACCAGTCTTGGTTACACACTTTTCATCAAGAAAGACCTGCTGCTTCTTCATCCCTTCCTCTGCCAGCATAACCAGACTCTTCAGCGTGGAAAGGACAGACTGACTGTGACCATGATGCTCTAGTAGAGTGGACACAAAGAGCACATATATGGAGGTGGTTGACTTTAGTTCTCTCATCACACGATCGTCATCGGTTAAGTGTTTCTTCAGACAAAAACAGACCATCCAACACAGCAAAGGCACAGAGCAGGCAGTCAGAAGGCTTTCATTCGCTTTTAGACTCTCATATGTTTTGCTGAAGAGTTGCTCATCCTGAAAGAACTTCTGGAAGTACTCCTGCACCCCTCTCTCAGAGAAGCCCATAATCTCAGTGAAACGCAGAGGTCCCTTGAGGAGATTAATTTCTGTATCTGCAGCTGATCTGGTGATAACCAGCAGGAAAGACTCAGGCAGAATCAGTCCATTCAGCAGACTCCTAAGAGTGTCCATTGGTAGGGCTTTCTGCGATGGATTAGTGGGTGATGATATCTGAATATGTGAATTAAAAGAGAACTCATCTATTCCATCAATTAGGATGAGGACTTTCTCTGGTGTTAGCTCTAGTATCTGTGAGATCTGATCTGATGTTAAGTTGCAACTCCAGCTCAAGAGTTCAAACAAGTTCATCTCCTCAGAAATACACTTCAGCTCTTCACACTTCAACAGAAAAACTACATCAAAGTTTTCAGAGTAAAGTTCTCCAGAAGCCCAGTCCAACATGATCTTCTGTAACATGAAGGATTTCCCTCTTCCAGAATCTCCACTGAGAATCACAGTTTTCGGTGTGTTTCCATCACTGTCGGGACTGAACAGCTGGTCTATTCTGATGCTGTGATTCTTGTCATTTGATAACAGTTGAGATGATGGTTTTGTTTTTTGTCCAAAATGATGCACAAACCTCACCAATTTACGATAGTATTTCTCATCTTGTTTTTTGCTCTTCTGAATGATGACTGGTTCAGTATAACGGGTGGTCAGTTCCACACGTTCAACAGATGGAAGATTACACTCGATCACAAACTTGCATTTATCAATGACTGATGCTTTATACTTAAGAATCATCTCACTCCAACCTACAGAAAAACACAAATGTTGGCATTAATGGTTTTAAAAATTATTGCCCACAAAATTCAATGGCTAAATGGCTAAAAAATCAAGGTGCAGTCACATTAGCAAAATTTCACTGGCAGCAAAGGTCCATTGTTTATTGTCAATAGCATAGTGATGTATAAAGCACAGCTCTAACAGAAGTCACTTTCAAAACAAGCTTTCTTTTGTTCTTTAGTGTGGAGAATCCATGTGACCAACTTGAAAATGAGCGAAATCGGCATGGAGAACTTTTTCGCCCTTACGCTAAAATCCTGATCACACAGTCTCCATCACCCCCACAACTTACAAGATCAAACTTAAATATATGAAAATACAACACTGTCATTTTGTGTGCACAGTCTCAACCAGGTTTTTTCACAAACTACGAAAACGTTCATGGCCTCTGCTGTCTGCTTAAATATGATTCCTAAAAGGAATGTCCCAAAATAGTAGCCTCTTTTGGGAAAAAAACAACAACAACACTAGAAATGTATACCCTGAAGGCTCAGAGATCCTTCTAAAGTCTTGTTATTTTTGGAGAACAATTTTGAGTGTTGTTACTTATTGTTTGGCTTTCCTGTGTTGTGCCCAATGCTGACCCTATGCTAACTGCTACCTGATTAGTCCACTGATAAATGGTCCCATTGATACTTTTGCTCTTTTCTGCTGCCTGTTATAGCAGCTTACTCTTTCTGGCTGCTTGGTTAATCCCCAATAAAAGTCTCTGCTCATGAATCGAGATCGCTCTGCCTCATTCCCTTTATTACAGAAATCCCTCAGTATGACCAATGCAGTCATGCTCCACAAAGTATGAGTGCAAGAAAGTAGTCTATTATATCACCCATGCATTGCCCATATTACAAAAAAGCTAAGCCTGAGATTAATTTGATAACAAAATGTAATGCAGGGTGATTATCTAGAAACTGGCAAATTCAAAAATAAAGGTCAAAGCCACAAAGAGCTCTGGAAATACTCAAACCAGACAACACAAAGAAAATGTTGATCTCTTGAACTACAGGCTTGAAGAAGTATATTAAGTGACTTATACTGATAATAACAGGAAAAACTCACTTTTATGTCTGGTTGCTACTTTGGAATCATGAACAGGAGGCTTGTGTTTCCAGCTGAAATAACCTGTTAATCAAGAACAACAAAACAGGTCACATGAGACTACCCATACTGGTAGGTTCACGTTTATAAATGTGTTTAATTAACAGCAACTGTAGATTCTCTTACCCAGGTCTTTGAAGAGGTGTGGTTCATGATTTCTCAGAGCATAATAAAAGTCATTTTTCACTCCGTCTCCTCCAGAATTTAGTGCTTCAAACAGCATTCTCATTTTGCCCTGGCTGGTTTGTTCTGCTCTGATCTCTGAATATTTTTCATCACATAGCATACCCTTATTTTTTAGTTCATCTGTTATTGCCATCACTGAGGTAACTTTCTGAATAAGCGCAGCGTAGTTTCTATCCACAAACTGGGCCTCTGGGCATTAAAAAAAAGTATTATCATACATTGTAGCTTACGATGATTTGTATACATCGAAACAACGTATATTTAAAAAAAACATCGTTATGAAAAATAAATTGGTTAGTGGTTTAATTGTAACGTACACAGTAGAAATTTAGAGTTTCAAACTATTTAAGTTTGCCAATTATTTAGATCGCGCCGTTTCTCTCACTTACCAAAGCTGCTCATCATGTAGGATAACACAGACCTTGTTCCACGAATAAAAATGATATGCCTATCAGCCAGGTACTTACTTTTAACTTAAATCTAACGTGTCTAACACAAAAGCGCAAAATTCACTCTGTTTAACGGAAAGAGCTGCAGGATTTCCGCGGTTCCACCCATAGACTGTAGTGACCACCGTATTCTGTGACCCTAGTAGGCGCTGTTGTCAGTGTTTGGCTTGAACTCGAGCTTGCTGGGGACCCGCAGCACCAGCAGTTTCAGAACCGCAGCCACAGAACAAACAGTAATGTGTTTTTGCTATCATATGTTTAATAATTATCGTATATATTACGTTAAACATTTATCTGCTAAGCACTTAATGTGTGCTTGGCTTTATTATGTTATATTGAAGCTAATTTGTTGTCATACTTTATAGTATATAACTTGTTTCTGTGGATGTTTCGATTAATTTTCGGATGCATGTTGTAAATGGGCCTTGCGGTGAAGTTTTGAAGACGTTTATTATTCATAAAAATAAATAGTTTGCTTTACTATTTAGGGGAAGTCGTGGCCTAATGGTTAGAGAGTTAAAGGTTGCGGGTTCGAGTCTCGTACCGGCAGGGATTGTAGGTGGGGGGAGTGAATACTAATTCCTAGTATGGGTCACCATGTTTAAGCCAGCCAAACTGGTCAAATAAAAAATCATCTTTAAATCCACTTCAACAAGGCAGTTGTCTGTGGAGGTATGCATATCTTGAGTTGTTTGTTTAATATATGTACACACAATATATTATTGCATAATAGTTTACCTGTGTACTTATTTATTTATATTAGGCTATACTATAAATTTTTGCAACCAATTATTGGTGTGATTATTTAGTTGTTAAATAAGGAACAAGGAAGGTTTTTTTGTGCCATTTACAGGGAGAATATTCTTATTTTTTGTTGTTTTCCAGTACATCTTGTCTTGGGAGCACCCTTTGATTTTACATCTGTAAGTAGTTATCAGTTAAAGTAATTGACCTTTATGATGTTGTAGCAGTTGATATTTAAAGATTTCTCTATGTTTGTGTCTTCCAGTGTGACATTCCAATCATACGAAGATGGTGGACTCTTATTCTTCTGAAGAACTTTGGCGTTTTCTCTGAAAGGTACTGGACATTTCCTCCAGCCAACCATTACATTTGCACCCCCTTCTGACCAATTTGAAATTAACCAAGATACATGTATACAGTGCAGAAACCCTACAAGAGGCCCTTCCAAGTGGATAAGACTATTTTACTTATAAATCTGAAAAAGGACGTAACATCTCAATGCAATGCAATGCCTACCTGCAACAAAACTTCTATCAGCATGAAGGATTCAACATCTAATCTGAAAAAGCATCTTGAGGGAAGTTGTTCTTGATCTTTGAAAAATTTTCTCCAGTAACTCGTTTTTCTATTTTCTCATATTTTGAGTGTTGAATGGTTAGCCTATCATTACGTTTTTATATTTCTAAGAATTTAATTGAATGACAACGAATTCTCCTAGAATTCACACTTAGCATTCAGTTAACAGATCCATACGAATCATGCATGAAATAAAAGTCAAACGATAGCTTTGTGTGCTTTACAGATGGACTTGAAGTCTTTATTCATTCGAAATGTTCAAGAATAGATTATTTTTGGCGCGGTAATGCGAGTTCATGATCCGATTCGTGAACAGATGATTCTTTTGATTCAATCTTTTAAATGAATCATTTATTTTGTTTAACGAAACCAGTGTAAATGGTTCACATTAAACTGGATAGATCTGGGATGTGTTTCCCAAAAGCATCGTTAGCGAACTGTGGTTGTTAAAGGGGTCCTATTATGCTCTTTTACAAAGTCTTGATTTTGTTTTGGGGGTGTACTAGAACATGCTCTCATGCTTGGTGGTTCGAAAAACGCATTATTTTTCACATAATTTACATTATTAAAATACCTTTCTCCCCAGCCTGGCACAAACGGCTCGATTAGTTCTGGGTTTTAATGAAGGCCCGCCTTTCGAAAAAAACGAAATGTGTTGTGATTGGTTAGCTGTCCCAGCTGTGATTGGCGAACAGCTTAGACGGCGTTTCAGTACTGCTGTGAAATGGCTCCATTAAACCGACATCTGCTCAGGGGGCCAGTGGAAGAGCCTCTTTTCCTTATAATGGAGGAAGAGGACAAGGAAAAGGCCCTCAACAATCTCCTGGAACAGAAGTTTCCAGAGGGCCCTTCATATTTCATCTTGTGTTCAGGGGAGTTATTTTTGCAGGATTGTCATAACAAAATGGGCCTAAGAGTGAATTGTTCATTTGATACATTTTAATTTGAATTTATGCAAGATTGTATTGTCATGACAAAATGTGCCCAAAAGTGAATTTTTCATTTTTTTTAATTTTCATGCAGGATTGTCACGACAAAATGGGCTTAATAGTGAATTGTTCATTTTATAAACTTCAATTTAATTATTGTGTACATTTTGATTGTTACTTTTAAAATTATGCTGCTGTTTGTGTGTGTGTGTGTGTTTTTTTGAAATGTTTTAGTTTTCATATAGAAAAATGTATGATGCACGTGTTCTTGACTGGAGTAAACATTTATTTTGAATCTTGTGATTAAAGTATATTTCATATAAAATGCCCAGAAGTTTCAAACATTATTTTTAATATCACAAACAGGAAATAACTTGCATAATACAATGAAAAGTATAACTGTATAAAACTAAATTACACAAGATTAATGTTTTTTAAATGCTTAATATATCATTATAAAATGCATACATAAAGTATGAAGTATCGTGTGTAATAAAAGCAAATTACCCCTTAAAAACCATAAGGTGGCGCTACTCTGTTAAGAACGTAAGCTCCACCCCTCACTTCCGGTTCTAAAACAGCTGGTGAAGCCAACACGGAAGTGACTTCAACTGTAATTCGTCAACTGGCCGCTAGAGGCTGGCTGCAAAAGGGAGTCAATCCCATAGCAAATCTTCCCACATCGTGACGTAGACATGTGGGGGCGTGTTAGAACGAGTCGTTTTAGGTAGGAGTGGCTGACTCTTAACTTTTATTAAGAATATCTCTTTGGTTTTGAGACTATAGTCTTTGCAACTTTACAGATAAGAGAAAGGAAAACTTGAAATCGCATCATATGACCCCTTTAAATCTATAAAGGATAAACAAAATCAAGTTCCTAAAGCGATAGTAGTGCAACAGCATCTTGAGAAAGAATATTTCCACTTTTTACAAATATTTACAGATGATTCCAAAGACCCAATATACCCAACAAAGATTCCAAGTTCGTCATAACTGGACGAACAGCTGCTGCTATGTATATCCCTCTTTCTAAGTATAGAGCTGCAAAAATAATTACTAATGATATATCGGTATATACTGCAAAGATGGTGGCTATTTTGATAGCATTACAGTGGGTAGAAGAAGTTAAACCATCTGCTGTAGTAATTTGCTCAGATTCGTTTTCAGTTCTTACTAGTTTATTAAGTGGAATATCGGATTCAAGACAATATATATTAATAGAAATTTTACAAAATCTTTATAGAATTTGCCAATTGAGACTTTTAGCAGTATTTTTATGGGTGCCGGTTCATGTTGGTGTGGAGGGTAACGAGGATGTGGACAAGATAGCCAAACAGGCCCTTAAACATAATGTTACTGATTTAGAAATACCTTTGGGTAAATCTGAAATGAAGGGCTTAATTAAAACAGCTATTAAAGGGGTCATATGATGCGATTTCAATTTTTCTTTTCTCTTTGGAGTGTTACAAGCTCTTGGTGCATAAAGAAGATCTGTAAAGTTGCAAAGACTAAAGTCTCAAATCCAAAGAGATATTCTTTATAAAAGTTAAGAGTCAACCACACCTACCTAAAACGACTCGTTCTAACACGCCCCCACATGTCTACGTCACGATGTGGGAATATTTGCATAACACCGCCCAAATGATATAAAAACATATAAACACATTTCTCTCTGCACTTGTGGGTTTAAATCATTTTAACCTTTTAAAGCTGAAAGTCCAATAAATGCAAATCATTTAAAAGGCTGGGCTCCTCTTCCTGAACGATAGCGATGAAGAGATTTTTCACAGTGACACTGCTTTTACGCACTTTGCTGCAGATCTCTCTCATGCTTTCTTCTTTAGTTGAAGTCGGATGTGTGATTTTAGAATACATTTCTTCATTAATGACCTGCTTCTGAAGCAGTTTGTCTGCAATGCCGTTCACATTCTTAACACTTTTAATAAGAGCACACCAATTTCTATCAAAAAAACTAACTTTATCAAAGTTGATAGACCCTTGTGGTTTTGTTTGTATTTCTCCATGTTGGAACAAACTAGACTCGACTTTGCTTGCAATTGTTTCGGCTAATTCTTCTTTCCAAATTGTTGCAGTCCAAACTGATTTCTGATCATCCACTCGGCTGAGAGTCATATTGATGTCATTGACCACAGGATGTTTGACCTTGAAGAAGTTTGGCTCGATGTCACCTCTTAGTTTGATTGCTTCGGGTTGGACAGAAGCTCCAGGAACCTCAAGACTGTGTTGTTTCATCATCCGCAGTGGGGTTTCAGGTCTTGGACATTTGACTGGTTGACTCGATTTTTCCTCACTTTTAATTTTTTCTTTAAAAAGTAAATCTGATGGGAAGAAATACACATGGAGAATGATGGGGTTCTTTTGTGTCATGAAGATCAGTAGATCACAGTGCACTTTCACTGATATCCTTAGTTTTATAAGCACTGTTTTTGGAGAAAAAGATGGTTGGAGTATTTTGGCATGAAAACGAGTCAACTCCACTGATTCAAAGGATATTCCCTCTTCTTCAACACTGAGGACCTTTATATAATATTTAAGAGAGGGGTCTGACTCTGCTAAACAGGCGTAATGAGGCAGATGGGCCTCCTCCAGTTTCCCTGAGATCACTGTCACATCAATCACAGGTCCAATTCTCTCACACTGAAGTTTCTCCAGCTCTGCTCTGAGGAAACGTCCATCCACTGCACGGTACTGGAGAGTGACGTCACCAGCACAGACCCATCGCATTCTGGTCCTGCTGCACTCGAATCGACCCGCCGGAGTGCTGATCCTGAACTCTGACCCTCCTTCATCTGATTCTGTACAGACTGACGGCTCCACCTGAACCCACTGATCAGAATCACCAATGTGAACACAAGACTGACACACTGGGAGCGGGTGAAGATTCAGTCCAGACGGTTCAGAGATGTTCAGCCTAGAGAACAGAGATAGCAGTGATAAATAAAATGACTTAATGTATAAAAGATAAACATGTGAGACTATAAAATGATCTCACTCTTCCAGCTCTTTCAAAATGTTTGGTTTGAATTGAATCTTCACTTTCTCGTTACAGCTGTGACTCCAGTCCTGTTCTTTGCACTGGTCAGTGGGTTTACTGCACTTCCTCCTTGAGAAAGATGGAAGAAACCAGAATAAAAATGCAAAATATATCACCAATATGTAGTTTAATCTTTTGCAATAAACAAGAAACCATGATATTGTTAGATTTGTACCAATATGGTGACTATTTAAAAATTGTCAGTTGGTGACCCAACAATTGGGACTCTAGAAGCTCTGCTTATATATATACAGTATATATATTTATATCACATACCCTTCAATGATCACAGTGCAGTTTGGATCCTTCAGTGATTCATACAGTAACTCGAGTCCCTTCTCCAGCAGCAAACCAGTGACACTGACACTACAATATTGATGTTACACAAACAACAGTAAGCAAAGATTTGTCATAATAACATGCTATTAAAACGTGTTTTGCACTGCTTTCATTGCAAAACACTGAATTCTTTAATTATAATTAGAGGAGTCAGGGTCATACTATTGAATTATTAAACAGAAGCTCCTTGATGCTGACTGGTCAATAGTTGTTTTATTTACAGTGAAAAATTAACAAAAAAGTTGATGGTCCCCATTGACTTCCATAGTATGGAATAAATACTTTGAATACTTTGAATACTTTCAATTGGGAACATCAACTGATCGTTTACCACATTTTTCAGAATATCGGCTTTTGTGTTCAGCAGAAGAAAGAAATTCATACAGGTCTGGAGCAACTTGAGGGTGAGTAAATGATGACAATTTTCATTTTCGTCTCTTGAAACGTCAAATAACATTGTGGGGCCATTGTACCTTATATCAGAGGACATAAATCGGTTTCATGGATAAAAGCAAATAATCTTACCTAAACTGCTGTAGGCTGGTGCAGGTCTGGACGAGGGAAATTATCTGAGAAGCCCAGCTCTCATTCAGACTGACCACCTTCAGATGCAGTGTCTTCAAACCCACAGAGTGAAATGAAGACAGCAGCAAACTGACATGCTCATCAAGAGCTGAAGAGCTGCAGAAATTGATAATTACATGTATGAATAACATTAAAGCTACTGATTAGATAAATAGCAAATTATGGCAAAATTGAATATTGTTCTTACTCTTCTGCTACTTTTCCTGTCTTGCTGAGTCTCTGTAAGAAGAGTGTCCAGTCAGTGCTGGATATCTCTGATTGTGGACATGTAAGACTGATGTTTAAGACTGCTGGAAATGACGGATTCTTCTCAGAGGAGTTCAAAGACAAACTGAAACAGACCGAGAAACAGAAACATCGTACACTCACTATGAATGATAGCCACAGTGTTCTTGATCCTGACATAAAAATCGCATAACTGTATGTGCAAACGTTTCTTACAAAACATCTCCATGAGTGACTGACAGGTCAAGTGACAATCTGGGACTCTCTGCACTGTATTCATCCTCCTGAACTCTACCAAGTCAAAAGAACAGATTACTTATCAAACAATTCTTTTGAATACATTAATTTATTAGTTATTCAAATATTTTTATGGCTGTATTTGAAGTAGGATGTTTTAATTACTTCAGTTCTTTTAAGATTTTTAATTCACAAAGAATCTGGATAAAGCCTCCGACTTCTGACAGGTGCTCCACTGATAACCTTGAGTTAAAAACAAAAAGTAATTTAGAAATTAAATGTTTTATTAAAGGAGACATATTATGCCCCATTTTACAATATGTAATATAAGTCTCTGGTGTCCCCAGAATGTGTCTGTGAAGTTTCAGCTCAAAATACTCCACATCATTTATTATAACATTTTGAAAATTTGTTTTTTTGCATCTTTAAATGCAAATGAGCTGCTGCTCCCCGCCCCATTTTCCAGAATAGAGCTGCGCCATTATAGCTTGGACTTGCTAAAAACATCTGTTTTGGTTCTGATTATCATGTTTATCGCACTGAAATCATGCGTTTTAAACCATATGAGTTTAAACTTCTGATATACTGTTTTCTGAGCGGTGACGCCGCTGTGGGTGTAAACTTACAGATTAAAGGGCCGGTAATATTATAATGAGATCCCTTTGCCATGTCACCAAGGGACTGAAATCAGACGCGCTTATCAAAGGCTTAACAAAACAAAGTTACTGGGTTAATCTTTTTCATGTTTCCTTGGTTGGTAGATGCACCGGGGACCTGATTATAGCACTTAAAACCTAGGATTTTCATGATATGTCACCTTTAAAGTAAACCAAGATATATATCTTGATTTTATATGGTTTTAAAAATTTTTTCATTTTTTCTGATTTTATGACACGAAAAATGTAAAGTAAAAACTAAATAACATTTTCTTGCACCTTGAATACGTGTGTACACACTTGATTATATAACTTTAACTTTAAAAACATTTTACTTTTTTTTCAATGATTATTTTTTCTTTTTGCAAATATTGCAATTTTCTAATTCATAAATATTCCATTTTCAAACATCTACAATCTAAACAAAACTTGCTATGTCATCAGAGGTAAAATATCTGTCTCATTTTAAGAGACCCACAGTGATATCATTTACGGTTTAATGGTTTTTGTTCTGAATTTTAAAATATGTATTTCTTCATGTTCTTTATATCACCTGAAGTTTTTAACTTTTAGTGAAGGTTTTTAATTATTAGTATTAATATTACTAATATTATTATTGTGCCACGTTATTGACCCCATATATCACAAAAACACTTGCAAGGACAAGAACACAAAAAAAGGTGTCAATCAAGAATTAATTTTCCATCTACAAGTGTTTCTCCATGCAAACACACTGACCTCAGAGTCTCACACATACAGAGTGCTGGCTGAAGAATCTTGAGTTTCTCAGCTGTTAAATCACAGTACATGAGGTTCAGGTATCTGATGTGTGGACAGCACTGAAGACAGTACAGCAGCACCCAACAGTCTGTGCTCCTCAGGGAAACTTTGGACAGATTCATGGATACCCAATCTCCTAAAGCTCTCCTCACAAACTCCTCATCCTGGAGCTCATACAGACAGCGAAGAGCAAACAGTTCACATCCATGCTGTCTTCTCACTGTAAGAACACTTTCCAGCAAGTCTGTCTTCAGTTTTATGGTGTGAGGAACAGTCCACTTGATCATTTCAAAGAGTGAGCTGCTCGCTTTCTCATTTAAGAGACCACAGAGAAACATCATGACTGAAGGGACAGGATTTGATCTTCTTTCTGGACATGGCCTACTGATTATACCCTTCGATTTCAGCGATCTCAACAGCTCTCTGACTTTCCCCCAGGACTGGTTTTCATCCAGTAAAACATAAAAAAGTCCTGTGAAGAACTCCTGAAAGCTAAAATGCATAAACTTGAATACTGGCACCTGTCTGTTTTTTCTTTTCAAACTATCTTTATACAAGAACATACTAATAGCTGGATCTAAGCCAGTCTTGGCTACACACTTTTCATCAAGAAAGGCCTGCTGCTTCTTCATCCCTTCCTCTGCCAGCAGACCCAGACTCTTCAGCGTGGAAAGGACAGACTGACTGTGACCATGATGCTCTAGTAGAGTGGACACAAAGAGCACATATATGGAGGTGGTTGTCTTTAGTTCTCTCATCACACGATCGTCATCGGTTAAGTGTTTCTTCAGACAAAAACAGACCATCCAACACAGCAAAGGCACAGAGCAGGCAGTCAGAAGGCTTTCATTCGCTTTTAGACTCTCATATGTTTTGCTGAAGAGTTGCTCATCCTGAAAGAACTTCTGGAAGTACTCCTGCACCCCTCTCTCAGAGAAGCCCATAATCTCAGTGAAACGCAGAGGTCCCTTGAGGAGATTAATTTCTGTATCTGCAGCTGATCTGGTGATAACCAGCAGGAAAGACTCAGGCAGAATCAGTCCATTCAGCAGACTCCTAACACAGTGCATTGGTAGGGCTTTCTGCGCACAGAGCAGGCAGTCAGAAGGCTTTCATTCGCTTTTAGACTCTCATATGTTTTCCTGAAGAGTTGCTCATCCTGAAAGAACTTCTGGAAGTACTCCTGCACCCCTCTCTCAGAGAAGCCCATAATCTCAGTGAAACGCAGAGGTCCCTTGAGGAGATTAATTTCTGTATCTGCAGCTGATCTGGTGATAACCAGCAGGAAAGACTCAGGCAGAATCAGTCCATTCAGCAGACTCCTAAGAGTGTCCATTGGTAGGGCTTTCTGCAATGGATTAGTAGGTAATAATATTTGAATGTGTGGATCAAATGACAACTCATCTATTCCATCAATGAGGATGAGGACTTTCTCTGGTTTTAACTCTAGTATCTGTGAGATCTGATCTGATGTTAAACTGCAACTCCAGCTCAAGAGCCCAAACAAGTTCATCATCCAAACAGCACACTTCAGCTCTTCACACTTCAACAGAAAAACTACATCAAAGTTTTCAGAGTAAAGTTCTCCAGAAGCCCAGTCCAACATGATCTTCTGTAGCATGAAGGATTTCCCTCTTCCAGAATCTCCACTGAGAATCACAGTTTTCGGTGTGTTTCCATCACTGTCGGGACTGAACAGCTGGTCTATTCTGATGCTGTGATTCTTGTCATTTGATAACAGTTGAGATGAAGCATCCACAGACCTCACATGATCACGATAGTATTTCTCAGTTTGCTCTTTGCTCCTCTGAATGATCACTGGTTCAGTATAACGGGTGGCCAGATCAACACGCTCATCAGATGGAAGATTATACTCTGCCACAAACTTAAACTTGTCAGTCACTGATGCTTTATACTGGTGAATCTTTTGAAGCCACTCTAAAGAAAAACACAAGTTATAGACTTTATATAAATGTATAAAGACAAATAAATGTGGTTCTTTTAAACTTTACATTCATCAAATAATCCTTAAAAAAGCTCTTCCACATTTTCCACAAGTCATTTAAAAAGCACAACTATTTTCAACTAAAAAAAAGTTTCCTAAGTGCCAAATTTAGATTTATAAAGGTTTATGTAACACTATAGACTGGAGTAATGACCACTAATAATGGAGCTTTGCCATTACAGATAAAAAATTAAAATATATTCAAATAAAAAAAAAAAGTGTTATTTTAAATTGTGATAATGTTTCGTAATATTGGTGTTTTTCAGGATTGATGTATGAAAGAAAGAAAGTAGTTTATATCTTCCATGGATTACAAATATTACAAATTCTTATTAATATTATAAATGTATATAAAATAAATATATGTATGTCTAGAAAAACTGACAAGTTTAAAAATAAATCAATAAGCCACAATGAGCTCTGGTAATACTCAAACCAGTCCGTGACAGTTTGTGTAAAAAGATCTGACTCTAACTTCCTGCTCACCTTCAATTCTATTACTAAGACACACATAGGAAATACTGCACTTCAGGCTTGCACAAGCCTATGAAGGGAGTATTATATCAATACTAATGACAACTGGGTAAACTCACTGTTATGTCTGGCTCGCGAGGGCGTCTGTCGGGTTTTCGGGCCTCTGGTACGGTTTATGGCACTACGTCTTAGATTCCCAACCTTCACCTTCATTACACGAGCCCTGCCCACTGGTACCAGGGGAGGAGGATCAAGAGGTCTACTTTTTCTGCTAACAACGCCTGTTAAAATCAACCACAGGACAGGTCATAGATTACACCCGCACTTGCAGCAACAATAGTAGCCTTTAGTGACACATGATCATTCTAGTAAATTTGAGGAATTTTTGTCTTCAAACATTAAAGACAAAAATATATATACGTATATGGATAACCACTTCTATTACAGGTTTATATTACAGTACAGGCTAAGCCACTTTGCTTAAAAAAAAGGCATCCAACCTCATAGTCTGAATGTTTTCATGGCAAGTGAAAATAATTCATGTAGTACCAACACACGTAAACTTAAAATTAAGATGACGGTAATCAATGAAATTTAGTTGTGACTAAATGTAAAAGAATTAACGTTAACTAATTCTAACATATTAAATTCAACAAACCGCAAAATATTTTTGATGGCACAGATTATATATACACATAAATCATATATACCTTTGCGTGGCTTCCGCTTCTCTCCTTCTGGGTTGTGCTTGCTCATTTTTGTGGACAACCTGCCAAACCCACAAATTCAGTTAATAAAGACTCATATATATAATGAAGCCTGAAAACAGAAAGTGCACTGTATTATTTTTGGACATGCTTATTCATATGCCAAAATTCTGTTAAAATATTCCTGAACCATACATGTACCTAGGCCATGTCAAACTGGACAATACAATAAAATGGCTATATGACATGAGAATATAGAAACAAAACTTGTACAGATTCTTTTTTACATTCACCTTATTCAGTGATCTTATCAGACAAAGTATATTGCAGCAGTCTGTTTATGAGATGTGAGGATTTCAAGGTTACCATTTGAGTGTTGTCTTAATTTAACTTACTTAATTTAAAACAATAATATATTTTCCAATTAATATCAGTTCAGTTAAGTTTACACATCATTTTAACTTACATTCTAGCATTAAACAGTAGCTGTTGACATCTTTTTATGAAGTACATGGTAAATCTGTGAAACCTGGCTGTCCATATAGGCACTTGCTATTCTAAAGCAATATTTTCTTCACCAGAGAAAAAGGTGAATAATCAGAACACACCAGTTCTTCAAAGATTAAATCATATCACTATCACAGATCTTTCTCATAAAATCCTGAAAGGTTAAATTAGTATGTGCGATTTCAGAATATAGTTCATCATGAATTATTCTCTGCTCATGCAGTCTGCAATGTGCTTCACATTTTTTACCCTTTGTATAAAAGCTAGCCAGTGTTTATCAAAAATATCAGCATTAACCTACCTGAGCATTAAATCTCTCATTTCTTTTTTTTTCTCATCAAGTTTGCCTTTCCAAATGATTGTTTTCCACACAAACATTTCATCCTGCTGTCTGATGACAGTCATCTGTACATCCTCATCTACGTTTGGCTTGATCTTGAAGAAGTTTGGGTGAATATTACTTAAAAATATAATCCCCTCTTCGGGAAGTACACTGGCACCGGATACTTCAAGAATGTGTGGTGTGTCCATCTGAATTTTCATGCTAGACCTGTGGTGGTCAATCTCAAGGACGATAGGATTATTTGCTGTTTCTTCCTGCTTAATTTTTTCTTTTGAAAAAGTATCAAACAGTGGAAAAAAGTAGACATGGAGAATAAGAGGATCTTCGTTTGTCATGAAGATGATAAGATCTAAATGCTGTTCAACAGGGATGTCTTTTTCTTTAATCACTGTGGTAGGCCAAAAGGATGGTTGGATTATTTTGGCATGAAAACGAGTCAGCTGCACTGATTCCAAGATTGCTACCTCATCTTTAACGCCGAGTCCTATTACAGCATCTTCAACAGAGAGGTCGGACTCTGCTAAACAGGCGTAATGAGGCAGATGGGCCTCCTCCAGTTTCCCTGAGATCATTGTCACATCAATCACAGGTCCAATTCTCTCACGCTGAAGTCTCTCCAGCTCTGCTCTGAGGAAACGTCCATCCACTGCACGGTACTGGAGAGTGACGTCACCAGCACAGACCCATCGCATTCTGGTCCTGCTGCACTCGAATCGACCCGCCGGCGTGCTGATCCTGAACTCTGACCCTCCTTCATCTGTACAGACTGACGGCTCCACCTGAACCCACTGATCAGAATCACCAATGTGAACACAAGACTGACACACTGGGAGCGGGTGAAGATTCAGTCCAGACGGTTCAGAGATGTTCAGCCTAGAGAACAGAGATAGCAGTGATAAATAAAATGTGATGATTAATGTATAAAAAAAGAAACATATAAGACTATAAAATTATCTCACTCTTCCAGCTCTTCCAAAACTTTTGGTTTGAAGTGAATCTTCACTTTCTCATTGCAACTGTGTCTCCAGTCCTGTACTTTGCACTGGTCAGTTGGTTTACTGCACTTCTTCCTTGATAAACATGTAAGAAACCAAAATAAATAACATACACCAAATATGCTAAATATACCACCACTCCACTTGAAGCTTTTGTAGGTTTTGTCCATATTGTCACCCAGCAAAAATGTTACAGTATGCTCCATAATTTATATGCACATTGCAGAAGAAACTCATTTGTTTTGTGGTTTTAATTTAGTTAAAATAAAAAAGCATCCTCAAACTGTTTGTCTTTATATAAGTAGGCCTATGTCAAACGGACAGTTGATAAGTGCACATATACCCTTCAATGATCACAGTGCAGTGTGGATCTGTCAGTGATTTCTTCAGTAACACGAGTCCCTCCTCCAAAAGCAATCCAGTGACACTGACACTACAATATTGAAGTTACACAAACTGTATTAAAGTTTTTGAAATACATGCAGTACATGCTATCATTTAGTTAGTGACATTTCAATTAGCTTGCAGCATAGAGAGTGTGAGTTTAAAGTATTATTTATGATGAACAAATCTTTATTGTGGAATAATCAATATTCTGTTCTGTCAGTCATCATTTACTAATGCAAATCCTCTCACCTGAGCTGCTGTAGACTGCTGCAGGTCTGGACGAGGGAAATGATCCCAGAAGCCCAGCTCTTATTCAGACTGACCAAATCCAGATGCAGTGTCTTCAAACCCACAGAGTGAAATGAAGACAGCAGCAAACTGACAAGCTCGTCCATAGCTGAAGAGCTGCAGAAATGTATTTGACCACAATGTGTTTGAATAACAGTAAAGCTACTGATAAGATAAATGGGGTAATGGCAAAATTGACATTTTTCTTACTCTTCTGCTACTTTTCCTGTCTTGCTGAGTCTCTGTAAGAAGAGTGTCCAGTCAGTGCTGGATATCTCTGATTGTGGACATGTAAGACTGATGTTTAAGACTGCTAGAAATGAGGAGCTGAAAGTCAACCTGAAACAGACAAACAGAGAAACATTTGATAACCACACTACACACTCACTATGAATGAAATGTTGTGTTCTGACACGTGATTATTCTTTACAAGACTATATAATTATTCTATCAAATATTCTTGATAAGAAGGATTACGATGTATGTCCAAAGGTTTCTTACAAAACATCTCCACGAGTCACTGACAGGTTAAGTGACCATCTGGGACTCTCTGCACTGTTCCCATCCTCATGAAGTCTACCAAGTCAAAAGAACAGATAACTTATTATGTTCAATTATTATCAAATATTTCATATTACTGTATTGGAAGTATGATGTTGACAACCTAAACATGATATATGAATAGCAAATATGAGTGTGACAGATACTTTTAAAAATCTAGTTAAAAATGCATTTGCACAAATTGTCACCTTTCCATATTATATCCAAGTTGACTTCACATTGTTTTGAAATAAAACTGAAACGTTTTTTTAATCATTAATGTAATTTAAAAAATAATATCTTTAAACAAAAAATTGTATTTGCAAATATCACAAATGTATAATTCATAAATGGAAAGTTTTTAAATAATTACAATGCAAGCAAACCATGTCATTTTATCAGGGGTAAAATATCTGTCTAATATTGTAGATGTCACATTCTGTGTGTGTTCTGTTACTGTTGTGTCTACACGCTGTTTCGTTGCCTTCTTGTCTGTGGATTACCTACCTGAATTTGTTTTGTTTGATAAACCTTTTGTAATTTGAAAAATTTTTGGGACTTTTTCCATCATCATTTGGACAAAACGTTACAATAGGAGATGTATTGACATTGAAATATAGGCGTAAGGGTGTGTAGTGGTTCTCTATATGAGATATTATTATAATTATTGTGTATAAGTGTCATGTCACTGACCCATATACCACAGAAACACTTGCAAGTACTTTAAGCAAAAATAAATGTAATAAATAATATATAATAAACTAATAATTAATTTTTAAATTGTATTTTAAAAAGTGTGTCAATCAAGAATTAACACCGAATCTAAGTGTTTCTCCATGCAAACACACTGACCTCAGAGTCTCACACATACAGAATGCTGGTTGAAGAATCTTGAGTTTCTCAGCTGTTAAATCACAGTACATGAGGTTCAGGTATCTGATGTGTGGACAGCACTGAAGACAGTACAGCAGCACCCAACAGTCTGTGCTCCTCAGGGAAACTTTGGACAGATTCATGGATACCCAATCTCCTAAAGCTCTCCTCACAAACTCCTCATCCTGGAGCTCATACAGACAGCGAAGAGCAAACAGTTCACATCCATGCTGTCTTCTCACTGTAAGAACACTTTCCAGCAAGTCTGTCTTCAGTTTTATGGTGTGAGGAACAGTCCACTTGATCATTTCAAAGAGTGAGCTGCTCGCTTTCTCATTTAAGAGACCACAGAGAAACATCATGACTGAAGGGACAGGATTTGATCTCCTTTCTGGACATGGCCCACTGATTATACCCTTCGATTTCAGCGATCTCAACAGCTCTCTGACTTTCCCCCAGGACTCTTTTTCATCCAGTAAAACATAAAAAAGTCCTGTGAAGAACTCCTGAAAGCTTAGATGCACAAACTTGAATACTGGCACCTGTCTGTTATTTCTTTTCAAACTATCTTTACACAAGAACACGCTAGTAGCTGGATCTAAGCCAGCTGCAGTCACACTCTTCTCTACAAAAAGACCTTCTCGCTTCTTCATCCCTTCCTCTGCCCGCTGACCCAGACTCCTCAGCATGGTGAGGACAGACTGACTGTGACCATGATGCTCTAGTAGAGTGGACACAAAGAGCACATATATGGAGGTGGTTGTCTTTAGTTCTCTCATCACACGATCGTCATCGGTTAAGTGTTTCTTCAGACAAAAACAGACCATCCAACACAGCAAAGGCACAGAGCAGGCAGTCAGAAGGCTTTCATTCGCTTTTAGACTCTCATATGTTTTGCTGAAGAGTTGCTCATCCTGAAAGAACTTCTGGAAGTACTCCTGCACCCCTCTCTCAGAGAAGCCCATAATCTCAGTGAAACGCAGAGGTCCCTTGAAGAGATTCATCAGTGCATCAGCAGCTATAGATCTTGTGGTGACAAGCAAGAATGACTCAGGCAGGAAGATTCCCTTTAACAGACTCCTAAGAATGTCCATAGGTTGGGCTCTATCGGATGAATTAGTGAGTAGAAACATCGAATGACTGGGGGGATGATTTACATACTCATCAATTCCATCAATGAGGATGAGTACTTTCTCTGGTGTTAAATGTAGTATCTGTGAGATTTGATCTGATATTAATCTGATATTGATCTGATATATGGATCTGCAACTCCAGTTCAAGAGCCCAAACAAGTTCATCTCCTCAGAAATACACTTCAGCTCTTCACACTTCAACAGAAAAACTACATCAAAGTTTTCAGAGTAAAGTTCTCCAGAAGCCCAGTCCAACATGATCTTCTGTAGCATGAAGGATTTCCCACTTCCAGAATCTCCACTGAGAATCACAGTTTTCGGTGTGTTTCCATCACTGTCGGGACTGAACAGCTGGTCTATTCTGATGCTGTGATTCTTGTCATTTGACAACAGATGAGATGAAGCATCCACAGGCCTCACATGATCACAATAGTATTTCTCAGTTTGCCCTTTGCTCCTCTGAATGATCACTGGTTCAGTATAACGGGTGGCCAGATCAACACGTTCATCATATGGAAGATTATACTCTGTCGCAACCTTACATTTATCAATGACTGATGCTTTATAATGAAGAATAGTGTCACTCCATTCTACAAAAAAAATAAAATAAAAAACACAGCAGTTATTACTTTAGTGGTTAATAAAATCTCCCAATCACACTGTCCCCCTCACCCCCACAGCTTACAAGAACAAACTTAAATATATTAAAATATAACACTGTAATTTTGTGTGTACAGTCTCAACCAGGCCTCTGTTGTCTCTGCTTAAATACAATCCCTAAAGGAATTTCCCAAAATAGTAGTTTAACCTGGCTATTTATTCTGAAATGTTGAATTTTGCTCAAATAATGCTAAATTTAAAATGTATTATACCATGCAGCCTATTTTAAAATTTTTCTCATTTACTTAGTCTTTTAACTGGTTTACTTAAGTATGTAAAGATATGGACCCTTTTCACAGACTGTAATGATGCTTTTCCACAATATTCTTTTATTTTCATTTTTAAAAAATGAATGTACATTTATAATACTATACTTTGTGAAAAATCTAGTAACACTGCTGCAAGGATATTTCTAATACAATGGCATAGGGAATGACATCTTTCTCTTTTCTGACTGCCGTAATTACTCTCTCTATATTTTCCCCCCTCTTTTGGAGAGAAGAGAACACTGGAAATGTGAAAAGGGTTTATTGTGAGAGATCGTTACACTTCTACGGAAGTTCACCACCTGGTGACTGTCACTAACTCTGATTCCCTTCACCTGTTATATATTAGGTTGTTTATGTGTATATTTACATTTAGACTGTGAAGTCTCAGAGCTCTTTTTGAAGTCTTGTTGTTTTTTTGGAGGACAATTCTAAGTGTCTGACCCCCAATTTCGACCCCCTGCCAGATAATTACCCCCCTCGCTGCTACCTGATTGGTCCACTGATAAATGGTCCCATTGATACTTTTGTATCACGTCCTTATTTATATTTATTTATTTATATTTTTAGATTTATTTTGGCGTTTTTGCCTTTATTTTGATGGGACAGTAGCTACATATGAAGTGAGGTGGGAGAGAGAGAAGGGGCCGGGATCAGGAAAGGTCCGCGAGCCGGGACTCGAACTCGGGACGCTGAAGCACAACGGCGTTATATGTCGGTGCGCTGCCCACGTATCGAAAGCCAAATGGGTCAGAATTTGCGTGCTTTTCACCGCCGTATTAATATTAAAATGCCGTTTTAAATAACGCCGCCAGTCTGAACTGAACAGCTGGTCTATTCTGATGCTATGATTCTCGTCATTTGATAACAGATGTGATGATGTTTGTTTTCCAAAAGTGCGCACAGACCACACGATAGTATTTCTCAGTCTGCTCTTTGTACCTCTGAATGATCACTGGTTCAGTATAATGGGTTGCAAGATCCACACGCACATCAGATGGAAGATTATACTCTGTCACAAACTTACTTCTGTCAATAACTGAAGTTCTGTACAGAAGATTAATGGTGTCAGGGAACAGGAGAGAGATGAAGCAGCAAGGACTCAATGCAGGATGATGGGCCTTTATTAATGGTAAAAACAAAACAAAACTAACAAAAACTACCCCAAGGGGGAAAAACAGGCATGCAGGCCAGGAACAAGGCGCAACAAAGCAAGGCAAGAGAGAACATAAGACTAATAACATTAAACAACGAAACAGCACAGGACTGCAGACACAAGGAGAATAAATAGGGAGACAAACGAGGAGGGTAGTGAGGGAGACACAGGTGGAGTAACCAAAACAATGATGAGATAACAAGAAGGGCGGGGTCAGACAATAGACAGGAGAGCACATGGCAACAACAAACAATAAGCCATGTGCTCAACAAACAGACACAGTGACCTCTGGTGGCCATCTAAGTCACACCAGCCGATAACCGTGACACATGGTGCTCCAATCCACAGGAAAAAGAACAACCGTATTTGACATTCGTAGTTTCCAAAAAAAGGGGGAAAAAAGTCTCACAATTTATTTCCAGAACATGGTGCATGATTGGATACGCTTAGCCTTGAATACTGCTCCGAAGCGGTATTCGAGATTTAGTTTAGATTTAATTTAGATTTAATTAGTTTAGAATTTAGATTTAGTTTTCCACCAAAAAGCAGCATGATTACAAATGTGATATTGATTTTATTCAGCAGTTCAATAAACAAGAATTTAATATTAAGACACTTACGTTTTAGACACAATATTGACTGTTTTTGCGCTATTTCGCCAACAAGTATAATTCCAATTTGCGTCTCTGAGCAACATGACGCTGTTTTGTTCCTGAAAGAATCACCCGTTTAAATGATTCAGTTCAGTCGCAATGGCTCACTTATTAACAGTGACTTGCTGCCACTTACTGGCAGTTTTAATTTCACATTTAAAGTATCTTTTCATTTTTTTTTTTTTTATAATTTTAAATATCAGTATTCAATGTTTTATGTTTAAAATATCAAAACAGTATTAATGCATTTGTAACTGCAGGTTAAATGCATTCCTGTCCTGCATTAAACAGTGTAAATGCATCTAAATGCCACTTCAGATGCAGCTTCCGTTTCCTCTGCATTGCAAAGGTTAATTTTGTCAATACTGATTTCATTTGCTTGGTAACAGCCCAAATGACTTATTATTCTAACTGACTGATTCAATTTAAGAATTTGACTGAAAAGATGATGCACACTTTTAGAAAAAAGGGCTTTATAAAGGTAAAAATGTCCATAAAAGGTAAGAAATAATTTTAAACTTATTGGAAAAGATTAATTTCTATCACTGCTGTGAACTGATTACTACACAGAATATGCAGAATATCAAAAACTTTAAGAGTCAGCTGTCCATGGTAGTCCTTAAGATATCAGCACAATAACACACTCAGCAAAATATCAACTAATTATCGTTATCGATAAAATCTCAGAAAATATTGAGATATTTTTTGTCAGTATCGCACACCCCTAATACATTTAATGTTTTGTTTAGAAAATCGTTTTAATAAATATGAGAAGTACCCTTTTTTCCACTTGAGCCCCTGCCTCTCAAAATGTCTGTGCACGTCCCTGCTCTCAAGTTACCAAGACCACAAGTGTGGGTATTTGGATGTCATAGCATGGCCACTGTCATCTTGCATCGATTACATTATTTGGAGGCCAAGTCTGCGCAGTAGTGATCATAAGGTGGAGCCGCGGTTCTGTATCAAAGTCCCGCCCAAACTCCCGCAGACCCAATCGCAAGCACACAATCAGGACACCAAACCCCATGTTTATAGCATCAAATAACTAACTAAAAACAAACTTATTAGAACAATCAACATTTGAACATATATCAGTGTGATAAGAACTACCTAAAATGACAGAAACCATCTTTGGGAAAAATTTATTTGTAGTGTAATTTGATATATATATATTTTTAAATTTTGCTCACATCCCATACGTTTACAGAGAGGGGGCTGGGTTTATATGACCTATGCTGCAGCCAGCCACCAGGGGGTGATCAAAATATTTTGGCTTCACTTTTCAGAATGTGTGAGGCACATTTGATTTTAATGCACAATGCAAGACTCCTTTCTGATTGTAAATAAACAAACAGTTTACCTCTTCCATGTATCTTCTTTTTCTGCCCTCTATCTAGTTTCTCTTTCAGCTGAGAGACGGATTTTTGTGTATCATCAAAGGATCGAGGATAACTGACAGTGATGCTTGGTGAGTGTGGTCCAAAAGGGAAAATGTGAGACCTGAAACTCTACATGAAAAAAAAAAAACATTAACAGAGACAATCTGCTTAGATTACATAAAAAAGAATGAATAAATAAATAAATAAATCTGAGAAATACTTTACGAAATTCAGAGACACTTTCTCTGCACAAGATCTTATTATACGCCCTTATTAATTTCAAAAGAAATTTTAAATATCATATATTAATCAGCAATTAACCACTAATTAATCCTTTCACTCAGACCTTTCTGATACCTTATGACAGCCTGTTACCAATGAGGTTTAAAGTAACTAAAAAGAGGCCCAGCACTGGATTCCTCACTGACTGAATGGAGTTGTCTGCAACTACTCTTTCAGCTCTTTTCAGAACTCACCAGGTCAGAATCAGAACTTGAAGCTCCTTTCAACTTCTGAATCTGAATTTCATCACGGAAATGTATCTGTGTGGAACAATGTACCTTTTTCAAGTTAAAACAGTCAATACTACTAGAAAATTACAAATTTACAAACAAAAATAAGTTTTTTTCAGCTGTCAAATGTGCCCAAACTTATGGTCAATGAGTAAAAAAAGATGTAATTAATATAGGCCACATAATGCAACTAAATATGGTTGCTTTTTCCTGTTCTGTACTCGGTAATTCATGTTGCTTTGTGTCAATGAAAGAATGAAACTACTGTATTTGTTTTTGTTTAATTTTTGGTGGTTGTTTTGTGTATCTTATAGGTGGAAAACATTTGTCATGTTGTTTTACAGTAGATTTAATAAATATTGTGGTAGCTGTTTTAGTTTTTGAGTAGCCGGATTGGGTGGTAAATGAGACTAATACAAAGTGAAACTCTAGATGGTGCAGATCCTTTAAGGGATAATTCACCCAAAAATGAAAATTATGTCATTAATTGCTTGCCCTTTATGTCATTCCAAACCCGTAAGACCTTTGTTCATCTTTGGAACACAAATTAAGATATTTTTGATGAAATCCGATAGCTTTCTGACCCTGCATAGACAGCAATGCAACTACCAAGTTCAAGGCCCAGAAAGGTAGTAAAATAGTCCATGTGACATCAGCAAGAAAACAAAAATAACGACTTTATTCCACAATTCTTTTCTTCCACGTCAGTCTTCGCCATGCATTCACGTAACATTCTGAAGTAGAACAAGCATGCGCTGCGGCTTGTTTGCAAGCAGAGGAATGCACACGCATGTGTCATGGTACTCTCGTGAATGCGTGTCGAAGTCAGACACGGAAGAGAAGAAATTGTTGAATAAAGTCATTCTTTTTGTTTTCTTTTTGCGCACAAAAAATTATTCTCGTAGCTTCATACAATTAAGACTGAACCACTGATGTCACATGGACTATTTTAACAATGTCCTAACTACCTTTCTGGGCCTTGAACGTGGTAGTTCCACTGCTGTCTATGCAGAGTCAGAAAACTCTCGGATTTCATCAAAAATATCTTAATTTCTGTTCCGAAGATAAACAAAGGTCTTATGGGTTTGGAACAACGTGAGGGGGAGTAATTAATGACAGAATTTTCATTTTTGGGTGAACAATCCCTTTAACTTAATCTGCTAGTAATCACATCATTATCTATATGGCACAGCTGATTGGTTTCTTTCACATCAGCAGCCAATGAGCCTGCTAAACATTTAAATTGGCCAGTGTTAGCTGTAGCATTTTTCGGTGCGCTTTCAGAAACCCCCCACCTTCCCCAGCTCCACCTGAATAGATCTGCTATAACCAAACACGTTAACATTAACATGTAGGCCTATACAATCTTTCAGAGAGTTGTCAGGACAGAACTATGGTAACATTCTATTCCAAATTCAGCCATAGGCAACACTTGGTTAACTTTCTAGAAATGTTGTATTAGACAATACTTTTAATATGAAAAAATATCAATATCAAAAATAAGGAGAAATAACATGTTTAGTTGTTAGCATACCCATATCCACTTTCAGTTCATACCTGTTTCTCAGTCCTCTCGGCTGCAGCTGATACAGTATGATGGTTTTTGTGCTTGTCCATCACACACAGATAACATATACATTGCTGGTCAGTACGACAAAAAAATTCCAACGGTTTTTTATGTTGAGGGCAGATCATCTCCTGCACTTGTCCAGCGGCATCTATCATACCGTGTCTCTCATCTCTAAAGAAACTATCATGTTCTTTAAGGTGATTTTGACAGTAAGAGTTCAGACACACCAGACAGGACTTGACGGCTTTGTTTTTGTCCGCAGTACAGACGTCACACTCCCCATCTCCAGCTGTAGACTCTTTTCTGATCATCCTAATCCCAGCAGCCTAACTGTGTCCACAGGAAATGGCCACTGGTTCCTTCAGTAGATATAGACAGATTGGACAGATGACCTGATTTCCAGCCCATGAAATGGTTTCTGTCATTTTTCTGCAAACACAAATGCACATGGCAGAACAACAACAGCCAAAACTCTAGAAATAACCAGATTCAACAGTCAACCATTCTATCTAATATCACATTCTTAAATAAAGTGAAGGTTTCAAAAAGTGTGTGTCCAGGAAGTAATATCCAACAGCTCACATAGGTTTCAGTTTCTCTCTGCTGAGATGAAGAAATAGTTTCCTGGTTCTGTATATGATGAACGTGGGCAAAAAAAAGGCGTGTCCAGAGCCTGACTGTTTGGCTAGTTCGTTTTAGCAGTTAGCCTCTTCTGAAAGATGCCATAACTACACCCTTTTGCTGCCAAAAAGCACTTTATAGAGAGTGAAAAAAAGTAAGCAACACACACATTTGACAGCAATGTAATAAAATGTACATATCAGTTCTGTAAATGAAATGCGAGCCGAGGATGTGAGGGAACAGCTGAGAGCGACAGGTGCGTTCTATGCAGAAGTCACACACCTGACGCACGCACGTTCTCCTCCCCCTTTACATTTGTCACAATTTGAAGTCAGGGTTCTTGCGGTTTAAATAAACCATAGGCCTACATTTTACATACTTAAACAGTGCATGATTTAGCCTGCTCATATTTATTTATTAACAATATCTTAATCAATAATACTTACATCATTCATATGTCAGATAAGGGCGCATATTAAGTTTCTTTTGAGGGAGCACGAATACTCCGTTTAACACGTCTTTGCTTCGGTGTCTCTGCCCTCGCATCCCAATGCGATCCTATTAATCAGTTAGTCTCCAATGGTGATACAAACACAACTTAACTAGTCAAGTTATTTGTTACTACGCTGAATATTTCTTTTAATAACCATAAGTTATAATCTACTATTATTTAATAGATCATATAATGGTTATGGGGAGCATGCCAAATAAATTAAAGTCCACTCTGTCCCCATCCAACACCAACAAAAATAACAAAATGGCTGTACTATGTGGAGGGGCTAATGGATATTTATGGGGGTAATTTATATGTTTATAATTTATATATATATAATATATTTATATATTTATATATTTATAATATATATATTTCTCATTTTCTGCATCAATTTCTTCATCAAAAACAAACAAACATTGAAATGAAAGCATTCAGTAAAATTAACAAGAGTTAAAGTTCAATTAGAACAGCACAACCATACCAAGCGATGCATAGCTTTTTAAAACACATACTGAAACAGATCTATTCTAGAGTTTTTAAATGGACCAAGAAAATTGGTTCTTGGGCGCAGGAGGTTTCTTCTCCTTCTTGGGTGCAGGGGGCTTTCTTTCTATTTTGGTTACAATTTTATTTATGATGGGAATACTGTCCAGATTATGAGGAGGTCTTATTTATAGAATCAGCAGCATAAAGCACAAATATAATATTTACAGTTAGTGGTGTTCACACATAAATTACAGTACATCACAATTGTATACATACTGTATGGTGTATATAACATTGCCAGTGTTGGGAAGGTTACTTTGGAAATGTAATAGGTAACAAATTACAAGTTACCCTACTTAAAATGTAATAAGTAGTGTAACTTTTCAATTACTTTATTAAAGGGGTCATATGATGTTGCTAAAAAAACATTATTTTGTGTATTTGGTATAATGAAATGTGGTTTAAGGTTAAAAAAACACATTATTTTCCACATACTGTACATTATTGTTTCTCCTCTATGCCCCGCCTTTCTGAAACGTGTCGATTTTTACAAAGCTCATCGGTCTGAAAAGCGAGGTGTGCTCGGATTGGCCAGCTATCCAGTGCGTTGTGATTGGCCGAATACCTCAAGCGTGAGACGGAAATGTTACGCCCCTCACATACTGTGATGCCCTGTCCGGCCGGAGCAAT